ACGACGATAACGACAGCGATGACGAGGACGCCGTTACTGCGGCACCGTGTCCGACATCGAATGGTTCGACTGTTGGAAGGCCTTCAGATTTAGCTCGGCTTTGTGCTCGCGCGCGATGTGCCGTCTCACGGTGTTGTTCCGCGTGAACGTCCGCTGGCAGAACGGGCACGGCACCCTGATACCTTGGTGGCGTTGCCGTATGTGGGCGCGCAGGTTTGTCTCGTAGCCGTACAATTTCTCGCAGTCCGGACACTTCAGTTTCTTGCCTGAAATCATGGGAACGGGGATATTCCGTTATTTTTATCTCAAAGTGTTAATGGGATTTTTGTAATAGTTACTTATATATAGGTTACTGATATATAGGTATATAGTTTAAATATTTTAATATTAAAATTGAGATGTAAGAAATTTTATTTGGGGATAAGGAACGAGGTTTTTGGAGATGATTAATTATTTTTTAAAAAAAGTAAATTTGAAATAAGTGCTTGGAAAATTTAATATTGATTTTGAAAATAAGAATAGATGATATTTTTTTAAGTTTTTTTCTAATCTAATCGTTATTTTGATCTCAAAGTGTTAATTTTTGTAATAGTTACTTAACTCGTTATTGATATTAGGTTTATAGTTTTAATATTTTAATATTAAATTGAGATGTAAGAAATTCTATTTGAAGATAGGGAAGTTTTTGCAAATAATTAATTATTTTTTTAAAAAAGTAAATTTAAAATAAGTCCTTGGAAAATTTAATATTGATTTTGAAAATGAGAATAGATGATATTTTTTAAAATTTTTTTCTAATCTAATCGTTATTTTGATCTCAAAGTGTTAATGGGATTTTTGTAGTTATTTAACTTGTTACTGATATTAGCTATATAGTTTTAATATTTTAATATTAAATTGAAATGTAAAAAATTCTATTTGGGGATAGGGAACGAGGGTTTTGCAAATGATTAATTATTTTTTAAAAAAAGTAAATTTAAAATAAGTCCTTGGAAAATTTAATATTGGTTTTGAAAATGAAAAAATGATATTTTTTTAAGTTTTTTTATCTAACCTATTCAAAGTTTAGAATATTGCATTTAGATATTGTGAATATATATATAAAATGTATGAAGTATTTTTTAAATAAAATTAAAAAAATAAATTATTATGAAGCAATTTAATAATTATTGTTACAAAATTTGTATTAATAATAAATTAATATTATTATAAATTAATATAACATATTAATATAAATTATTATTATTAATATAAATTATTAATAATAAATTGTAATTCTAGAAAAATGATGTAAAATTATCTAAAAAATTAAATAACAGATACATATAGTTGTTCTAAATAGAAAAACGATTGTTTTAATCTTTGCTCGACTTGTTTTACGGAATTCGTGTAATTTCCGGTTTATTCTGGCTATCTAATTTAATACATTTGCATATAGAAGAAATAATAGCCGAAATATTTTTCTTAGAAAAAGTATTTTTTTGGAAGAATTTTCTAATTTTCGTCATTTTATTAGATCAAGAATATCATACAAATATTGTATTACAATCTTTATTTGGATCGTTATAAAAGTCTTCTTCAAGCATATTTTTAATAAATTTGTTAATGCTCATGAAATATATTATATGTTATTATTATTATCATCTTGAATTTGTTCCTTAATTATCTTATTATCTCTTATTAAAAAATAATAATTTTTTTTATTAATAATGTTAAATTAAGTTAGTAGAATATGTCAATATTCATGAATGAATAATTAAAGAATGCATAACAAATACTTTTTTGTCAATTCTGTTCATGAAATTCATTACAAATTCATGATTTAATTATATATATATATACTTTTAAATGATTACAACTTACAACATTTGTATAATAGTGAATAATTTTTTAAGAAAATTTAAATATATTAAAGAAAAATTAAAGATCTTAAAAATAATGAATAATTTATATCAACAAATTTTCAAACCTAATTTATTCAAAAAAACGAGGCCACAAAGAATTTTATTTATTCCATGTTTTCATTTTATTTTTCAATCTTCCTGCCTCCATTTATACCACGAATCACCATCCTGTATTTTTTTTTAAAATTAAAAATTTTTTATACTTAAATTTCAAAACAAAACCATCGAATCGATGAACAATTTAAACGTTCAAACAAAGAAAAAAAGAAAGTTTCTCCCATCCCAAATCTCTATAAGGTCCGCAGCCGGGGTTTGCGCGTGCGATCATCTCGATAATGGAGCGCGTGCACGCGTCTAGTAGCACGCGGATCGTTCCTCTTTTTCGGTGGATAGCGGGTTAAAAATAGAGTTGGGCCATCCTAGAAAAAGTAAACGGGGCCGTGGGGCTCGATTTCGTGCAGCTGACTATGAAATTCACGAAGGATCGCTGCCCGAAGACAAAGGCGGACCGAACAGGCCGCGCGAAACTGGCAAGGGAGTGGAGGGAGGGGGACAG